CTGTGGGATGGACAGCAAGTGAGTACTTGTAAAATGTTTCAAAATATCATACTTCTCATGCCATCATAGTTCTTCTCGTATCATCACCGTCCTACTTATATCATCATCGTCCTTCTCATTTTTTAAAAAGTATCCAGAAGCCATGAGTTGTAAACCCTTTGGCTCGGTACTATGGATATCGCAACCATTCCGCCTTGATTCCATGATAGGTACCGTTAATCTGAGAGAAATGTGGCTTTTCTGCCTACACCCGAGAGTGAACCCGGACCACAAGGAGTTCGTCGCCTGGCCGCCGCGAAAGTCAGGTTTAACCAACTACGCTAGAGAGCCGGGCCGTCCTTCTCATATCATCATCGTCCTTCTCATATTATTAGTAAAGTCTTCTTGGGCGGACATATGGTGCTGCTGCTCACAACATAGTCTTTAACAGAGGTGCCCTTATTCATTATAAAGTGTCTAAAACGGTGCCGGTTCTCACCATACAGTGTCTAAAATAACGCACCGCAACTCAGCACAGTGTCTAAAAAAGTGCCGGTACTCAGAGTGTCAAAAAATGTACCTTGACAGGCTATAAAGTGTTTAACATGGTGTCGGTACGTTGCTGTTTGTAGTACGATCATATGTTCAATTCTCCCCGTGTGGGTTCCGTGGATCCATTGCAGGGGAACACAAGAACACACACACACTGTCTCCCAAACAAGCATGCCGTAAGAGTGGAATAATTGGGCTGCTTCCTTTAAAGTCGGAGTGCATGAGAGGCAAGGAACTAAGAGTCTCCATACAAATGAGTCAGATCTGTAAAACGGTTGTTCACGCAATGCTAAGCGTCTATAAAAATTACTAAATTCCAGATGTGATAGGCTGGAAAACGACAAAGACTACTGTTCAGTAGCTAACGATTTTGATTTAATCTGGTTTAAAAATGACAAAGAGGCCACAGGAACAGCTATAAGCTTTAGACGGTAAAGCGAAGAAACCTGGCCAACCATCAGTTTATAAAAGATCTTGTTTAGTCTTTTAGCGTTCGATTTGACTTCCCAACCGACCCTGCAGAACACCGAACTAGCTGTTGCGGCTTTGCACATCGGGCTAGCCAGCTTGGGTACGGGCGACTGCAGGGGAAGGCTGATCGTCAGGCTGATTTCGCGGCGGTGATATGTTACCATAGTTGAATCTGAAATTTCTCCAGTGATGTTAGATTTGATTTCCAATGTGTATTCTCGTTAGAAGATAGTTTGATGGCAGGTCGCTATAAGTGATTTGTTGGCATATTGAAGCTTAACGTACATGTTAAATATGTTTCTGTTTTTGCCATTGTTCAGGTAATCTCGCTGAACGTAAGGTGTCATTATCATATTTCCTTGTTAGCTGATCTTCGCTTTAGATTCTGGTAGAGCTCGTTGGTTATTGTTAATGTTATTTGTGGACCACACTGATTTTATATTAAGTGAAATAAACAGATGTTTAATGTAGTAAAAATAGTTCCAGTTGTTTTTCGTTCAGATTAGGACTTGTAGTTAGTGTGCCTAGTTTAACATTTGTTGCTTGGCTGATCTAGACTTTAAACAAAAGATTTCCTGTCAGGGTGAGATGTTTTTGATCTTACTCCCGCCTAAACGAACTTTTTCTCTTTTTTTTTCTCTTGTTACTGGGGCAGCTTAAAGTTGGCTTTTGGCTCCCACTCGCCACGTCACATTGTTAGAGCTCTTGTAGTTTCAAAGTCGAGGAGATTTCAAGGAGTAGATTTTCATATTATCCTTTATAGTTTTCTCTTCTCTTTCCTCCATTACAAGTTACCCCCTCTGTGCTTCTAGCACACAGAGATGGACAAACAGGCTATGTCTATAGTTTCCCAACATACCGCCATGACGTGGAGACAAGATCTAAAAGAATCTCTCGATTTCTTTGTTATAACATCACAATATATATACGTTGCCCTGACTTTTGCAAAGAGCAACAATTCATCTCAAATTATGGAAACCATATTAAAAACGTAATGTAATATTCCAGATAAATAAAATATTAATAAATTTCACTTCTTGAAAATATATATATTGTGTGTGTGTGTGTCGTAGCAATAGGTGCAGTTGGTCGAATGGTTAGAATACTGCGTGATCTTATGGAAGATCGAGTTTTAAATTCTCTGTAGGGCTATGACTGTTTTTTTTTTTTTTTTTTTTTTTTTTTTTTTTTTTTTTACAGGGGCAAAATTAAACAACTAACCTGCGCTAGTCATGCGGCTCCAAATGCTCGGGTTCAATCCTTTCCCTCCCGCCACCACCCAGTCCTACATCTCAACCCCTGCCTTTCGCCTCCAACACCCCTAACTGTGGTTCTAACGACGGTAACAGACCCCTAAGTGTGGTACTAACGATGGTAACAGACCCCAAACTGTGGTACTAACGACGGTAACATGCCCCTAACTGTGGTACTAACGATGGTAACATACCCCTAACTGTGGTACTAACGACGGTAACAGACCCCTAACTGTGATACTAACGACGGTAACAGACCCCTAAGTGTGGTACTAACGACGGTAACAGACCCCTAACTGTGGTACTAACGACGGTAACAGACCCCTAACTGTGGTACTAACGACGGTAACAGACGCCTAACTGTGGTACTAACGACGGTAACAGACCCCTAAGTGTGGTACTAACGACAGTAACATGCCCCTAACTGTGGTACTAACGACGGTAACAGACCCCTAAGTGTGGTACTAACGACGGTAACAGACCCCTAAGTGTGGTACTAACGACGGTAACATACCCCTAAGTGTGGTACTAACGATATCTGCCTCTTGGTCGCTTATCTTCAACTTTGTCCTCTATAAGAGTTTTGCCTTTTAATTTGGCCGAAATAGTTCACTGATATATATATATATATATATATATATATATATATATATATATATATATATATATATATATATATATATCAGTGAAACAGCTTCCTTTTATTCTGTAGTCTTTAAAGCAGTGGTTTTTGACTTCTTTCAGGGGCGCCCCGTGAAACTTCAGTGTTAAAAATACTGCAGTGAAGGCTATGTAATTTGGTTTCTTTTCTATGAATTGAAAACCTAAAAACTGTATGACGTCTACTACTTCTACTATTCAATAGTAGCGTTGAGCCATATTAATACAAAACAACACGATATTCTAAACAACTTAACAAGCCGAAACTCTCTTAAGTCGTTAGCAGCCTTGAATATACACACACGGTTCCATCAACATTACTGACTTACCCAAAGAATCCATGGATGCACCTCAGATGCAGCAGAAGCAAACACATCCCCACAAACACACAGCTAACACAAGTCTGCATGACTGTTCAGCAACTGCCGGTGCTTCATGACGAAAACACACTGCTTGTCTGTCTAGCTGCTAGACTGGTCTATTCAGTGCTATATCTGACCATTATTATAAACAACTTTATTAATTATTCTTTATGGAAGTTATCGTGTCCTAGAAGGCAACGTCTGAAACTGACCGTAGATATAAAAAAAACATTAAATGATACAAATAAGACAAACACAGAACCAGCGGTTGAGGCCAGTGATGGACAAATGAGTCTTGTATGAGTTGAGTCTCCGGCGTCTTAAGAGTTTGAAGAGCGCCGGTTTCATTTGTCAAAACCTGGCCGGTCTGAAGCTGGCGCCTACTTCCATTCAGAGTATCTGAAAGATGGATGGGGAATTCCCCGTCCGCGTGAGCATTTGAAGTTTGTTGATGACAGAAATAATTTTTTCCTCATTTCTGGATGTTGGTGGGTAGATTTGTGGCGATGTTGGCAGGTTATCCCAGATCATGTGTGGACCTGTTGCTTAGTAAATAGAGAATACGTTTCACAATTCTATGATCCTCGATACAGCAGAAGGCTCCCCCCCCCCCCACCCCAAAAAAACCTTTTCTCACCATAACTTTCTAGGACATAAAGAAAACAGGCCGCGCGCCACGAAAGGGGGTGGGTAAGGGAGTTCAAACCGTTTCAAATTTTCTTGCCAAAATTAGGGCAGGGAGATTTCCAGAGGCTTAAATATTGCATCAGCGCGTAACAATTATAATGATATAATATTGTTAATAGTAAGTGTTATTATTGTTACTATTAATATTATGCGATTAATTGGGAAACAATTTGAAAATCTTTTGAAATAATATGAACTACATAAACAATAATTAGAATCGAGCTTCCATGCATGGTTTGGGAGAGGGGATGCAGAATGTTATCCTTTTTGTACACTTTCTAGTAGGAAGTCAAAGACTCTTCCCCCACTCACATTGGGTGGGGGGGGGGGGGGGGTCTTTGAGCCTGGATGTTGTAGCGCTCAGTTTTAACAATAAATGATCCCCTGTTGAATTATTGCCTTAAAAAACGTTAAAGGTCCTTTTGTAAACAGACTAGTGGTCAAGTGGTCAGCTTCACGTCTGTCGCCATTTCCTCAGAACATATCCTGGTATCCATTTTAGGTCAGTCAGAAATGTCAGACAAGCTTTTTGATAAAACAATCGATTTCGATGACGATTCGAACAGGTTTATGGTACTAATCTCGTACGTATTATAAATAAATCAGTAATCCAGGAGTTATGGAATCAGTATCATGCCGACTGCCTTTACTTCCCAAAATTGCTAGGAATTGTCAAATCACACTGGCGTAAATTAAAAATAAGGGACTTAACCTAACTCACAGCGACTGGATTAGATCCCTTGTTTCAGCGTTGTTCCGGTGTCAGAGAAGAAATGTGTATGGCCTGCTGGGGACTACTTGGTTGTTGGAAGACAGTGCGGCGAAGGGTGTTAGTAGTTCTCACGTTTCCACAAGAGCAGAGAGAAGAAGACAGCCGAAGTACGAGACGACGGGAGAGGGCGAGAAGCGGTTGTGAATGTCCGAGTTTGAAAGTTTATCTAAAAACGACTGGGAAAACATGACGTACATGTTAGCTTTACAGGACCAGTTAAAATAGACAAGCGAAAGACTTGCCGCGAAAAAGCTTCAAAAGCAG